AACAAAAAATTGCTGTTTTTGATTTTCACTTATTTATTTCCACTTTTACTAACTACACTACGCATCAAATAATACACAGACAAGGGGTCGGCAGATTGATCTGATATCAATAGTATTGATACTTTACTTTCATCCTTTCCTTTTCCTTTGTCTGGTCTTCTCATGCAGTCACGCTTTGCCCATCCCCTGCACATGCCGAGGAAGGGCAAAGCACAACATGTTGTTCTGTGTTTAGTTGCACCATGCTCACATGACTCTGTGCCACTGAGCAGTGACATGCTGCAGCAATTGAAAGAGACATCATTTACACCTGTAAATGAAAATGGTACATGTTGGAAGGATTTTCTCTACTGTGGCAACAGCACCATCTTATATAAAGTCATGAAAGACCATGAGTAGGAGCAGAACGAAAATGCTGTAGTGATGACAGACTTACTGTACTTGGCAGAAAAAAAATCAACGGTGGCTCAGAATTAAACAAGCACTTTTTGAAGATTAATTTACACCAAACATTTGACAGACGGCAAAATCATTTCCAACACCCCAAAGGACAGCAAGGAGATGCTTTCCAGGGATACATTGACAGGTGCCTAAATACTGTAGACCTGAGGAAGGCTGAGAGTTCCTCTTCCCCAGCCAAGAACGAGATGCCATCTTCCTAGAGAAGTTCCCCGGCAGGCACCGCTGGAACACTCACTGCTGAAAATGCCTCACTGTGGGACTCGGTCAAGTCTCTAACTGAGAATGTGACCCAGCTCAGTGAAGAAAATAAGGATATAATTGGCTGTTTTTGACTACTTTTGTTTTTACCTCTATATTTCACCTTTAAAAACGATTTATCTTGCCTTGTTTGGTATCGCTCTTTTCACCACAACCTCACATGTCTGAATTTACTGTTATTTTTTTTTCATTTTGACATACTTAACACATCTGATGTAAAATCAGACAAAAAACATAAAATCAGTGTGTTGAGGAACCAGGGCACCCTGACAAGAAGGTATCGGTGGGCAAGAGACAAAAATAGGGTTGTTGTAATGCTAGTATGCAACCATGTAACCCTGGCGGTAGGGGTTACATGAATAGGATGAGGGACCTATGGATTCTTCCATACCCAACATCCAAAATGACGGCGAAACAACTAGCAGCTCAGTGTTCCAACATTTGAAAGAAGGGACTGCTCTCACAGCTAGAGATTGATGAAGTACAACATAAATGCTATGGCAGTGGGGAGCCAGGACGCCAGGTCAGGGGCGAGATATCATCACCCCCACCCAAGATTGGGTACCAAGCCCCAAGCGCGATAGGAGAAGGATCATTCAGTGTGAGAGGAACTGACTTGAAAGATAGGATCATGGCCAAGTTTGAAACCTCAATCCCCTGTAGCCAGTTACCAAGACTACGTGAAGTACCCTCAGAAGGTCTGCTAGATGATGTTAATGCAGCACTATGGACAATACCTACAGCTACCATTACCGAGACTAACAAGCTGATCTACAAGTTGAACAGCCACAAGGGGCAGTACCCTCCATGGAGAAGCAGGCTAAAGGCTAACATCAAGGTAGCACTGAGGGAGGTTAGTGGAGTTGCAGAAAGGTGCGATGAAGAAGGTGCCTAAGAAGTACAGGAACCTGTCCATACCTGAGGCTTGGAGCCTGGGCCAGCCGCTTGAAGAGATTTTTGTTAGAAAAACTTGTGTCATGACAGTTTGAAAAACATGTGTTGCCACTATATAATATACAAACTGTACACTAGTGAGCAAGGGTTTATAGGTTTAAATGTATAAAGGTCAAAGTTACGGTGAAACTACATGTTTCTGACCCTGAATTAATTTGCATCATCAGTCAGTGAAGCATTACTTCTCTACTTCTTCATCCCCTTTTTCCCAGGATGCACCTGCAAGAGTTCATTTATTATTTACATTTACAGTACATGTAAATGAAGAAGTGTCAGCACTCTGTTACACTCTACATGTTTAAACTATTCTAATTAGGAAAAGCGTAGACATTAAATGATTTTTCTCTTTAAATATACAATTTCACCTGTCCACACACATTTTATTTTCAATAATTATCCAAGCTTGACATATTTTTCTGTAAATATTCTCTACATTACATTTAATAAAGCTGATAAATTACATTATACATCCTGAGGTATTGATGAGTGAATTAAGGTCAGACTGTATACGGTTATTGATATTGGTTCCAGAGGAGTTCAGTGTAACTCCTCAACCTCAAGTGGATCAAGCTAAGCTATCAATTAAATGATTCTACTCAAGTCTATTATGACTTAGTAAAGTAAGCAGGAGGACAGGCCAAATTAAATTTCAGTGTCAACCAGTTGGCTGGGCCTCTCCCATATCTACTGATTAGCCGTTCTTTTTGGTTCTGTAACTGCTCATGAAAATAAAACAACTTGGTGACAATATAAGCTGGGACTCTATTAGCTAATTTTTTTGTGTACATACTGTATGGACCCTGTGTTCAGTTGTTACCCATATGGAAAAGATATATATAAATCTTATCTTGTATCTGTCTTGTGTGAAACTTGTATGAAAAGCATACAAGAGTGAAAACAGATATAAGATCCCTTGAAAAAAATTATAAATGAAACTTGTATGTTTTGGATACTTATTAATACAATATATGAAAGTAATGAGAAAGTGGCCACTTTTATGACTAATCATATAAGCCTTATATGATTCACTATATGAAGTAGGCCACATCTTATGCAAGTTTTTACTATTTCTTTTCCATATGGGTATGTATTTCTAAATAAAGTGATATTTTATAAAATATTCTACTACATTAACCATTCCACTTTCATGAAACTTCAAGGAAAAGTTCTGTTATTTTAGTGATTTGGATTATGTAATAATGCCATTGATCTGTAGTAAGGCATAGCACTTTGACTATTCTGTCTTGTAATTAGTGAAACATGAAAAAAAACATTCACATGTTTGTGCTATTTTATTTGATAACAACTCTTTATTTATATTATTGTTTTTTGTCTCCTCAAAGTTCATACATTTATACTGTGTCCTAATTTTAAATCTATTGCTCCATCTTTTTAGTATCAAGAATGTGCTGCCCACACCTAGAAATATTTCATTAATTTTAAGTTGGTCAAACATAGGCGGTTGGCTAGATACTGCTCTGTGTTTGTCCAAACATACTAAGACACTAATCCATAATTTTAAAAAAGTAATTGTTATAGCATCAACAATACAGCTAAAGGACATTAAGAAAGTAATATTAAAGCTCCTCCTCCTGTCAGTCTCTCTGAGTTTCAGTTATATATGTTAAATGGTTCACACCTCCTCTCTTCATTGTACTTAGACAGTGCAATCTCTTTCTAAGTCCATTCTCAGCTCATACTGTCAACATGCTGGTGACTCTCTGTATTCTCATCGCTGCTCTAACATATATGAAACCCTTTTATACTTCAGACTAATCTTAGTTTAGGTGCTGGATTCACATATCAGTGTGCTTCACATGACTCCATGTCTTATTGTTGTTTGCAGGTGTGAGTGGTGTGACGGTGGTGACACAGAAACCTATTTTATCAGTAAGGAAAGGACGGACAGCCACCATGGACTGTAACCTGGGGACTGTTACTGGTAGTGCTGCTCGGTGGTATAAACAGACTCCAGGAGGAGTTCCTCAGTTTGTGCTGTATTTTTATCATGGCGATAGTTCTCCAACATATGGCTCTGGGTTCTCTGCTCCAAAATTCACATCCACTTATCAGTCAACATCAGATTATCGTTTGATCATCAACAATGTGGAGGAGGGAGACTCTGCAGTCTATTACTGCAAGACATGGGACAACTCTGTCAATGAGTTCGTATCACAGTGATTTACACTGTGACAAAAACCTCCTCACTAATACTTCTGCTTTTTGACACTCTTCCACATCCTGATAACTGAGAGATCAAGCAACTCAGTGTAAACCCACCAACTGCAGATAATGTGTTGCAGTTTTTCTCAAACAATTTTTGCTCATTTCTCAAAGCAGAAAAGTCATAGCACTTTTCAATCAGTTCTAAAAAACATGATAATGAATAAATGTAAAACTTTCACCACCATTTTGAGTCATCAAAAAAACATTCTCAAAACATTACTAACTTTGGAAACAGTTCTGCATTAATGCAGGTCTAATAGTGCAAACATTTTTCAGAAATAAAATATGAAGGAACTTTTGGAAACGTTACATAACTAACGTAATGGAGAAAAGCAAATTGTTACTCATGAAACTCTATGCATCAGAAAGCAGGCAAAGAAAATATAAAAAAAACTGAGAACGTGGCACCAACTAATGTATAGTCCAGTACAGTCACGGTACATAAATTCAACAACTACTTTATTAAGGACACCTGTTCCAGTGCTTATTATAGTGATCCAAATATCTAATATCTAGCAACTTGAAGCTAGCAATGTACATATCTAGATATGGTCAAGACAGACTGCAGAAGTTCAAACCGATCATCAGAATAAAGAAGAAACATGACTAAACATGAGATGGTTATTGATGTTAGACAGGCTGGCGTGAGTATTTCAGACACTGTTAATGTACCGGGATTAATTTTTTGCACAACCATCTCTAGCGTTTACAGGGATGGAGAACTCAATAGAAAATATCCAGCGAGCAGCAGTTTTTGGTGCAATGTTTCAAAACAAGCTATGCAGAAAAGCATCTTTGCGAGCACCGTACATCTGACCTTGAAGCAGATGGGCTACAGCAACAGAAGGCCAAAATGAGAGCCACACCAAAAGCTACAACAACTTTTTCAAGAATATTATTTTATGACAGACTTGAGCCTGAATGATGAATATGAATCAGAAACATGTGAAACAATGTGAACAACAATGTGAAACTGCTCACGAATCATTTAATCTATGAGTGAAAGTAGTCTTCTTGAATCTCCTCCTCCTTTAGTTTGCCTCTCCTCTTTATAAGCTCCAACTCTCTTCTCCTACTCACATATCGCTAAACAAACAAGATCATTTACACCTCACACTGACAACATGCTGTGGACCTTCTGCACTCTCATTACTGCTCTAACGTGTAAGATCTTCTTCTTATTCCATTTTTTAGTCCATATTTAGAGCTACACTTTAAACTTCTGTTTTTTCTGTGTGTTTCCTGGCAGATGTTGATGCGGTGATCGTGTTGACCCAGACACCTGCTGTCCACACAGTTTCTTCAGATCAAGAAGTTGTTCTCAACTGCAACATAGAGAGATATGACAGGAATTATGTTAGCTGGTATAAACAAGTTCCTGGAATGGTTCCTCAGTATGTTCTAAGTTTTCATCATTCTAGCAGCTCACTCAGCTTTGGAACAGGATTCTCCTCAGACAGATTCAACTCTAAATCCTCATCAGACATTGATTACCAGTTCATTATCAAGCGAGCAGAGACAGGAGACTCTGCAGTGTATTACTGTCAGACATGGGATGACTCTGCCAGTGCAGCTGTACCACAGTGATTTAGACAGTGACAGAAACCTCCTCATTAGTACTTCTGCTTTTTGAGAAACTTTCACATGCAAAAAAAAAAAGACCCATAAAAAAACCCTGTAATGTGTTATTAAACACTAAATCCTCCATTTTTAAATCCTTTTTAATCTTCATTATTAAAGGCATAAAGAAGAAAGCACTGAAATATGTACATCTCATTTACTCCCATCAACCCGAATAGATCACATAAACCAAACTATCCAACATATAGTATTATATGTTGCTGCAAGCTATTTTTAATAACAGAAATTTTATAGACACTACTCACAGGTCTAACTGTCCAACAGCAGTTTAACTCATCATTTAAAATAAACTGTAATTAACATGCAGTTTAAAAAAAAAAAAAAGCTATATTGAAGCTAGTTTAGAACTTCTAGACCATCTTCATTTAGTTTTGATTATTCAGAAACATATTTTTAAGGCAGAAGGAAAATATAGAAGGGTGAGGATAAGGACACTAGTGACAAATGTTTGATTCTTTTACAACCATTTTTAAGAACATGGTGTGATTTATTGTAGCTATTGCATTATTAAATTATTAAATAGAAATTACAAAAACTAAAAGTTTTTTTTATTTGCAAAAACTAACAGATCAAAAAACTACATTCCCCAAACAAACAAAACAAACTTTGTTATTGATGACTGATGAATAAAAAGAACAAAAAAGAATGCAGTACAGTAGAATTGTATTGCATGGGATCATTTTACAAATAAACTAATGCCAACAAATAACTAAAGCACAATAAACAATAAACATTGAGCTTATTTGAAATTCATCCATCCATCCATTCGCTTCCGCTTATCCTTTTCAGGGTCACGGGGGGTGCTGGAGCCTATCCCAGCTGTCATAGGGCGAGAGGCGGGGGTACACCCTGCACAGCATCAGGAAAAAGGAGCACGAGAAGCTTGAGAAATACCAAAGGCTCAGAGAAGAGCTCGAGAAGATGTGGAGGGTTAAGGTAACAGTGGTCCCAGTGGTAATTGGAACACTCAGTTCGGTGACTCCCAAGCTAGGTGAGCGGCTGCAGCAGATCCCAGGAACAACATCAGAGATCTCCGTCCAGAAGAGTGCAGCCCTAAGAACCTAAATAAACATAAATCAGAATAAATTTGATAGTATTGACATTATATAAATATACATTACTGTTACGGTGTGTTTAACATTTTAAAGTAGAGTAATAAGATGCAGCTAATCCAAAATACAAGGCTGCCCTGACTTCAGATCTTCTAGATCAAGAGAACTTATAGAAATTTAGTTTGGATTAATCAGAAACACATTTAAAAGGCAGAAAGAAAGGTTGAAATGTCCTACTATCATTAATTTTTCTGTTTTTTTTCCCCCTGGAACATCCTTCATATATTTTCAGACTCCAGCCTCCCTCCTCCTGTCCTGACAGTCTTCCCTCCGTCCAGTGCTGAGCTCCAGTCCAACACAGCTTCTCTGGTCTGTCTGTCCAGTCAGTCTGTGCCTTTTGCAGATGTGAGCTGGTTGGCTGCTGGGAGTCCAGTGAGCAGTGGGATCTCTACCAGCACTGCTGTTCAGAGACCAGACCAGACTTACCAAATCAGCAGCTCTCTGACCATCCAGACATCAGACTGGAACATGAATAAGGTTTATACATGTAAAGTGTCTTTGGGCTCGCAGACTTCAGAGAAAACCATCAAGAAGTCAGAATGTCCCACTGAATAGTCGAGGATCAGAGTGTGCATTTAAAATCTGCTTCTTTACTGCTTGTGCTGTTTGCTCATTACAGTCTTTACATGTTAGAAATCAATATAAAGCAAAAATATTTTAGTCATGTATTCATTTGCTGGCCATTAACAAGTATTTCCAGGAATTCGTGTTTTGTATTAAATCAATAAAAGCATTGGTCTGAAAAATGTGTTTTCTTGTGAGTAAATAAGAAATTGTGTCAGTGTCAGCAGACATTTAATGTAACTGAAATGAACTGGGAAATTTTAGAGAGGGGAACATAGAAGAAAAAAATTACTCACAAGCACACAATTTTTAATCGTATTGTTCCCATAGTTAAAACATAAGTATATTCTGAATTACGCGCTATGTAATATTTGTACACTAGAGAGCATCATTTAATAATTCTTCCTTAGTAAGAGAGAGGGCAAGTGTCACTGGTTGAAAATGATTTTAGACTTGATGTTTCTTCATGTCCAGGATGCAGCTGCAGGTCTTAGTAACTCATTTATAACCTCAAGTAAATAAAGTATCAGCTCTCTGTAAAATGAAATACAGCAACTGTTTACTAGCAATGTTTCAGTTCATATCATTTGACCATTCAGAGAAAGCTGAATACTGTTCGATTTTTGCCTAAACATAACTTTATTTACTTTACTAAGGAACACTAAATGGAGTCCAGTTATGAAACTAAACCTGTTACACCCCGGCCTATGGGAAAAAAAAAAAGAAGAAATTATAATGCCCCCGCTCCCTGCTCCCAATCCTGCCACAGTATTGAAGTTTCATAACAACCAGATATGTTTTTTAATTTCGAAAGATTGAAAGCATCAGCGTGGGCATGGCCAAAGCAACAAAAATACACTCTAGAAATGAAACAGAACTGACTTACCTATAATGAGAAACCCGAAAGAAAATGCAGGCCTCTTACCCGTCTCCCTAACCTAAACAGGAGATAAAGGTCTTAAAAGAAAAAGGCTTCCCACCCCTACAGCTACCAGATCAACAAGAAAAGGTCTATTTACACTATTTCCAATATATACAAGACAACCAAGCTCTTCTCATTACAAACACTTGGTCACACACATAGCACGCTATGCAAGACACAGGGCTAAATGCACAGCTTGTTTGGAAGCAGGAAGTAGACAGGCCGCCAGTCTTGACAGGTCCCACTTTAAAGCCAGCCTCAGTCCATCCTCCACCAATGATTCGCCTTCACCTGGAACTTACAAATGCACAAACAACACACATGATCATGACCTGGGTCACAACAAACCTTTCTGCATCATTTTTCTGTTATTTGCTGTTTTGCATTGAACATTAAAACCATTACAAATAACCAGTAGGTAAGTCTGTCTCATTCAGGATGTAGCTTTTTTACAAACTGTATTTTTATTATTTATTTATCTAAAACGGTATTTTTCATTTTCTGGTATTTATTTAATTATTTAATTAGATGATCTCACTGTCCTGGCATCATTAACTTTAATAATGACAGTAATATAAGCAATTATCCATAGATATCTAAGAGGAACAAAACTGAATGAAAAACACAAAACACTGGGCAGAAGACCTGTGACCATGACACATGAAGGCAATCCATTTCGCGCTTTGTGAAAAGGCGTCTCCTTTACACCTTTGCAAGAAAGTCATCCTCTCATAAAGATTTCCCTTATAAAGACTTGTTTTACAATGTTCATCCATTGTTCAAGACTTGGCAGTACAAGTTTATACCAGTTCTTTGTGTTATTTTTTTGTAACCAACAATGAACAATATTTTCATGAATACAGTACCAGTCCTTTTTTATTCACAACATCCTATTGAATTACTCCAAAATACAGCACCAAGGCATCTACAGGGATTTCACAGCCTGGCTTCTTTCTTAGACTTAAAGTTATTGTCCCGAAATATTACAATTTTATTGCACGTCCAAAGATTTTGTGAGTGGGTGGCATTTATGTGACCACACCGTCTCTTGCTGTTGTGACCTACATTGCTTTTGAGGTGTAACAAAAACACAAATTTGATTTTTTTCCTGCAAAATTCTCCCCAGTTTTTTGAGCTTGTGTGCCACCCACATAGCAGATCAATCTTCTTTTGCTATTTGTATGTCTAGTTTTTATTTCCCATTTTGTTTTATTGTCAGTATTATTCCCTTTGTGCTTCTGGAGGCCTTGGTATGCTTTTCCATCCCATGTTATGATGACGTAATAGGGTGAAAGGAGGAGACACAGCTCCTCCTCCTGTTAGTTGTATTAAATGGCTCCTCCAGCACCTTTTCTTCAAATCAGTTCTTAGTTCACATCGACATCATGCTGGTGACTCTCTGTGCTCTCATCACTGCTCTACCAAGTAAATACTTTGACTATTATTGCACACATATATACTAATGTCAGTGTGTTTCTCTTGACTCTCTGTCTTCATGTTGTTTGCAGGTGTGAGTGGTGTGACAGTGGTGACACAGAAACCTGTTGTACCAGTGAGAAAGGGAGAGACAGCCACCATGGACTGTAACCTGGGGACTGTTACTGGTAGTCCTGCTCGTTGGTATAAACAGATTCCAGGAGGAGTTCCTCAGTTTGTGCTCTATTTTCATCATAGCTATAGTTCTCCAACCTATGGCTCTGGGTTCTCTGCTCCAAAATTCACATCCACTTATCAGTCAAGATCAGATTATCGTTTGATCATCAGCAATGTGGAGGAGGGAGACTCTGCAGTCTATTACTGTCAGACATGGGATGACTCTGCTAAGGAGCACGTATCACAGTGATTTACCCTGTGACAAAAACCTCCTCACAGATACTTCTGCTTTTTGATGGTCTTTTTATAAAAGACACACCCAACAAACTCAGTGTAATCCCACCACCTTCAAATAGATTTTTTTTGTTTTTTTTTTACTAGCTGCAAAATTAAGAGATTAGAGAAGAATCTTTGATGGAGCAAGAAGTCAGAATGTCCCACTGAATAGTCGAGGACCAGAGTGTGCATTTAAAATCTGCTTCTTTACTGCTTGTGCTGTTTGCTCATTACAATCTTTACGTGTTAGAAATCAGAATAAAGCAAAAGGTTTAAGTCATGTATTCATTTGCTGGTTTTTAACAAGTATTTTCAGGAATTCATGTTTTGCATTAAATTAATAAAAACATTGGTTTAAAAAATGTTTTTTCTTTTCAGTAAATAAGAAATTGTGTCACTGTTCAGTAAGATGACTGGAATGAAGTGTTAAATAAACACTCAGAAGCACACTATTTTATTTTAGAGAGGAGCACATAAAGGAAAAAAACCACTCAAAAGAACACAACTTTTAAACGTGTTTTCATAGTTAAAACATAAATATATTCTGAAATACACGCTATGTAATATTTGTACACTAGAGAGCATCACATAATAGTAAGTAATAGTAGTGATAAGGAATTGTCTGAGTAAGAGAGAGGGCAAGTGCCACTGGTTTAAAATGTTGGTTGTAAACTTGAACTAAAATCTAAATACTCAATGAAGCATCACCTCTCAAATCCTCCCTCTTATCTCACCGAGGACGCACCTGCAGGTCTTAGTATCTCATTTATAATCTCACATAAATGAAGAAGTATCAGCTCTGTGTAAAATAAAATGGATCTGATGTTTACTGGAAATGTTTCAGTTACTATCATTTGATTATTCACAGACAGCTGAATACTGCTTCATTTTTGTCCAAACATAACTTTCTTTACTGTTAAGGAACACTAAAGGGGGTGTAGTTATAAAACTAAACTAAACTAAACCTTTTTTGCTGTCATGTGCTGGTTTGCTTTGAACGTTTAAATCATTAAATATAACCAGTAGGTAACTCTGTCTTATTCAGTATGAGAAGAGACGGACCAGCCCATAAGGAAATAAACACAGAAAGAGGAAAACAAAGCTGTGATGATGATGATGATGATGTAACAGAATGAAAGCAGAAGACATCATGAAAAGCTTATATACACAATGGAAGGGGGGGGGGGGGGGGCTTCATTCAAAGCTCCTCTTCCTTGTTAGATGTGTTAAATAGGTTCTCCAGCAGCTTCTCTCCACTCAGTTCTTAGCCCACACCGACATCATGCTGGTGACTCTCTGTGCTCTCATCACTGCTCTAACATGTAAAGAGTCTAAAATATACTGAAGAATGGATCTCATGTTAGATTTAAATGTCAGTGTGTTTTTCTTGACTCCATGTCTTCATGTTGTTTGCAGGTGTGAGTGGTGTGACGGTGCTGACACAGAAACCTCCTGTTTTATCAGTGAGGAAAGGAGAGACAGCCACCATGGACTGTAACCTGGGGACTGTTACTGACAGTGGTGTTCATTGGTATAAACAGATTCCAGGAGGAGTTCCTCAGTTTGTGCTCTATTTTCATTATAGCAATAGTGGTCCACGCTATGGCTCTGGGTTCTCCTCACCAAAATTCACATCCACTCATCAGCCAACATCAGATTATCATTTGATCATCAAAAATGTGGAGTTTATTACTGCAAGACGTGGGACTACTCTGTTAATGAATTCGTATCACAGGGATTTACACTGTGACAAAAACCTCCTCACTGATACTTCTGCTTTTTGATGCTTTTTTTTTCACATGCTGACAAAAGACCCATTCAACAAACTCAGTATAAACCCACCACCCTCAAATATTATTTTCATTGTTCTTCTTGATTTATTTTAATGTTCATCAATGAAAACCCACCAACTTTACACAGTCTCTTCAAAAAAACTGAATTACTCTTTTTGATCATTTTTTAACATTCATCACTGAAAGTATATAACATATTGACAAATATGACGACCACCAAGAACACAAATTGTCACATATATGTACACAATTATATGCATTTTAAATTATGTGCATCTAACATAATTCAACCAATTATGTGCATGTTTTTAAATAATACCAATTTGTCAAACAATTGTCTAAAACTGATAACTTTTGCATTCTATCTGCAGTAAATGACATTAATCAACTTAAATGGATTTTGTTAAAGCTGCACAATGAGGATAAAAAATATTCCATATGAAGTGAAAATGCAGCTAAATTAAATTTTATCTGTTGCTTCTCTTCTCTCTACAATTCTTTTCACATTTCAGCTGAATAGTAAAGGATGTTTACACCTCACACTGACAACATGCTGGGGACTGTCTGCTCTCTCATCACTTCACTAAAGTGTAAGACGTTCTTCTCATCTCTTTCATAGCCCATCGTTTTGGAGAAAGACATTTCATGCATGTTTTTCTGTGTTTGTTGGCACATGTTAATGCAGCGGTAGGTTTTCTCCACATACCTGCTGTTCACATGGTTTCTCCATGTCAAGAAGTTGTTCTCAGCTGCAACAGAGAGAAATGGTTGAATTATGTTAGATGGTGTAAAACAATTCCTTGAGGGGTTCCTCAGTTTTGTCATTCTGGCAGCTCACTTGACTGTGGAACATGATCTCTATTGCCAGAGGTGGGAAGAAACCAAGTATAAATACTTTGTTACTGTACTTAATTAGAATTTATTTTTAAACTCTTTACTTTCACTCCTGACATTTTATTACAAATATCTTTACTTTTGACTCCTTACATTTTCAAAACTGACTTGTTACTTTTGGTTCATTTGTAGAGTTTATGCTCAGCAGTAAAAGTGGGCTGGAAGAAGTGCAGGTAAGTTGTGTTTGTGTTACTTCAGATCTAGCTAGCTCTACAGAAGAGGAGCAGGCATGAAAGAAGTGACGTTGAATGAAGTGTCAGGTGAAGGAAGTAACAGGTAATGTCAAATTCAACTTTTTTTATCAGCTCAATAAACATCAGCAAACACACAAACTCTTTGTGTGCTGTTTGTCACACAGTGTGTTACTAACTAAAGGTCCAGCTGCTGTATTTCACACTGACACAAAAGAAAAGAGACGGCACCTCTGGTGCTCGCTGTCAGAGGCAGGTTACACCAAGTGTAGCTGAGATGAATTTGAATTTAAGATTTTGATGCTTAAATTAACCCATTGAATTCCAACTTTATTGGACTCTTAACTTTCTAGTACGAAGACAGTATAAGCAGTGTAGTTTCAGTGTAGGGGATGGGCATTATAGCTTGTGAAATTGATGGCATCTTGTTGAATTCAGTTGTGTAAATCCACAAAGAGCAGCAGGTCAGCTGATCACAGTCTGTATTCTAAGAAAATCTACTGAAGCTCATATTAGAAATTATTGTACTGTGATTCTTTTGAATCAGTAGTATCAAGAGTGAATCAGAGTATTTTTTAACCCGTGTATCTTTACTTCTACTTAAGTAAAGAAAGTCTGTACTTTTGCCACCTCTGTCTGTCCCGTTGAGACTATCTCTTTACTTTGTTTCATATTCCAAATGTACGGGGATCAGGCCATTCCCCAAACGAAGTACAATAAAAAAAAAGGTCAGGATGCATAAAACCAGTGAGGCCTCTACACCTTTCTTAGCCTATTGGCAGAGAACATAATGACGGCATTGGTTACAGAAAATTTTTAAACTACTGAAGGTTCCAGTGGGGCCATAATACAGAAGTGAAAAGAACATCATTCAACAATAAACTGGCCAAAACCAGGATGATTTTAGAGAGAAGAGTGAAAAGAATGATCAGACGACTTTTCCAAGAGCCAAGGACCACTTTTGGAGAGCTACATAAAGACCTGCTTAAATGCTGGTGTAACGAAGTGCAGCAACAACACCAAATATAGTCCAAAGACCCCCCCCCCCCCCCCACAGGGGCTTATATTTACTGCCCATGCTCCACAGCATCATCTACTAGGGCTGTTCGATATAATGATATATATATCGGATGATGATATGAAAACGTCTATCGTTTCATTTTACGCTATCGTTTGTTTCGTGGTGTCGCAAAATAAACTGTTTACAGCAATATTTTTTCATTGTTTTGATGGTCACTGTAGAATTTCTTAAAGTTCTCTCTTTCTCTTATACTTAATATAACCACACAACGGATGGACAAGTGACTGTTTTTATGCGTTGTCATTGGCAACAACGAAGGTAAAACTCCGCCGTCTGCTTGTTTAGTTTCCACATAAACCTTTGACAATGGTCAAGGCTGAAGCTGAAGATCCTGTTTTCAAAATAAACTAAATTACGTGAAATAGTATGCAGAGTGTTTACGGACAAGAAACTAAAAACCTCGGATCCTCTCAGAAGCAGACAGGAGAAGTTTTCCTACTCCATAGGTGAACTGAAGAACAAGGTGACCGTCACAACCAGAGGCAGATGCAGCTGAAGCTACAGCGAGGCCACGCAAGATGCGGCGGGCTGACAGTGTGTCAGTAGCAGTCACAGTGCTGTGACATAATGATGGAGCAGTCAAAGGCTCGCTTTGAGAAAGCACAGAACCTGGTGTCTTTTGACTTCAATGACGGGGTGATTAACATGTTTGCATCTCAGAAAACCCGACGATGTGATCTTCTCTTTAAATAAGGTAAGCCAGACCCCTCTCTTTCTCTCTCTATCCCCTTAAAACAGGTAACACGTGTGAGTAGAATAAAACAACGATTAGAATGGAATGTGCTTAGGTTTGCTCAGATAATAGGGAGCGGCTGGAGATCAGAGGAACAGGAAATGATTCGTAAGCGTGTGTTTTGTTAGGATAACTTTGTCAGCCTCTGTTTAAAGGACAATAGTGGAATTTTATTCTCAAAGCATTTCATGGGACCTTAAAGCTCTCCAGAATGAGATTATGTTGCTGACCCCTGACATCCCAAATCAGTGGGTGTAGCTATAAACCTTGATGGGTAAGTGTATAGTTTGAGGAATCTATTGACAGTGGGGGTCTGCCTGCCATAAAATGAGGAGTAAAAGCTGCCTCAGCTAAACAGGAAGAACAGTTACTAGTCTGGGGGAAATGTATTTACCCAGTTGTGAGCTCTAGTAACCTCCCTTGTCTCACTATCACTCCTCCTCACATGGAAGAGTGATTCAGACTGTGGCCAGGACCTGAGTTATACTAAAGCTTTTAAGGATACTGAACAACATTTAATAAAATTTCCACTCATTTGCAGCACTGTTTTGAAATATAAACAGACTGATGAGGGAAATGAGATGTTGACAGTGAAAGTTGGTGTCTGCAGGATGTTTCAGTTCCTCTCCCCTCATCAGTGACAGTCAGGAGGTTTTTGTACAGCCATGTATACAAACTGAATCACTGTGGTATTCGGACAAGGCACCAAGCTGATTTTAACAAGTAAGTGCTGTTTAAATGATCATAAAACAAGAGAGATTTTGCACAAATCTGCTGATGACTACTTAATTCAATATGTTTCTTGTTCAGCATCATTTTTTATGATTTTGTACAACATGAAATAGTTTCAGGTTGTCTCATATACAGGAGACATGGATTCGTTATTTTAAAAAAAATGTGTAAAGGTGTCAAACTAAATTTTTATATTTTTATATAAATGTTGTTCACTGAAAATGATGTGAAATATGTTGTTGTTCATTCTTATTATTCCCATAATGTTTTAATTTATAGTTAGGTTAATTTGAAAAACATACACAGGCAAGTTTTCTCTTTTTTCAATAGTAGTTAACAGTGTTACTAATGTTCAAAATTACTTTGAAGTGATTAGAACCTGGCCTAACAGGTTTTTTTTTTTTTTTAAATGAAAGAAAATTACTCACAGTAGCCGACATGTTATGCAGAAAATACGCTCTAGAATTAAATTGAAGATATTTTACATGAAAAGTTAAACAGTAACTAGTCATATTTTATTTTGGAAAAATTCAAAAAGAAATTCAAATGATATGTTGGGTTATTATTTCTATATTGTTTTGCAGATTTAAATTATTTTAAACATTAACATTAACATTTCTTTTCAAATCTTTTCAAATGTTATAACAATTATTGTGTTTATTTCATAATGACTATTATTGGTGTCTTGCTTTCTGTTTTTATTACTACTTTTATCATATCTCCTTTTGATTTTTCTTTTTCTTTTCTCTGAACATCCTTCATGTATTTTCAGACTCCAGCCTCCCTCCTCCTGTCCTGACAGTCTTCCCTCCGTCCAGTGCTGAGCTCC